CGTCCTCTACTGCGCATGTGGGACACTGGCGTTGTATGACTGCAGTTCACACAAGGAGATCACATACAAGTCGCATATATTTGGAAATGTGAACGGCAACGTAAAAAAATCGGATTTCGCAAAAAAATCGGGATTGAGCATCAAGGCCTGCAGTGTGAACGTAGCCTGAGTCTGCATTTGGGTCCTCCTGTCAAACCCCAAACCCACCCCACCATGACAGTTGTCATCTGAATATTGTAGCTTTAAATAAGGGAAGCAACATAAAAAATAGATAAATAAATAAATAAATAAAAAAGGCATTGGTGTCTGGAATTGCACTGCAAAAACAATCGAGGCATAAGTAAAAATTTCTTAAATTAAGTATATTTACCCTTAATTTGAGTAGGTAAATAAGATGATTTGCCAATGGAAGGAGTATGTTGTTAAACCTAAAATAAGATAATTAGATAATATGCACTAGAAATAAGAATATGCAGTTGTTTTTTCTTATTTTAAATGTATAGGGTCTTGTTGCATTGGCAAAGTGTCTAACTTATCTCCTAAATTTCAGAAAAAAATCACTTATTTTAAGAAAAGATGACTTATTTAAATCAAAATTTTTGGAAGTTGGAAGCTCAAAAATCCAAGAATTTTGTAAACAATGAATGCACCAAATATAACCACTAAGACAACAATAAACCACCACACATACAAACAAATAACAAACTGACAAACAAAAAAAAAGCAAAAACCTACACGTCAGACAGGAAATGCGAAATACAGACATGTTCATCTAAATAACTTAAATAGACATATCCACAGCCAACTTCTGCAGATAAATCATGCTCAGTATGTCCATTTTAAGCGTTGGGGCCTGGAATAAGTGAGATATCAAACTTGTTAACATACTCAAGGAATGGTCCCCATAGATTCATAAACATTCCTCTTGTACTGGTCATTGACAGTCTGATTTTGTTTTTTTCAGTTTGAGATAGGGTTGCCAACTTTCCTTTGAAAAATGGAATTGTTCTGTATTTAGAAGTAAAAGTACCTGTCCTGTATTTAGTGGAAAAGGAATGCACTTTGTCCCATATTACTGAGAGAGTGAAAAATATTCAGTAAAAAGCCAATGGAAAATGAAGAACAAGGGCACGTTAAACTGAAACTTAAGGTAAACTTTTTCCTGGGCCCTGTCCTGCCTTGTGACCAATGTGCTGATAACATATATGTAACAATCCAGAATACCCCCATCCCATTTGTTGAGCCAAGTGTTGCTCACAGAGAAGATAGCGGGAGGCAACAGAGCAGTACGGAGGACGAACGGAGTAATTTAAATGCTGCTTTTGGGGGTGGTGCACCTTTGCATAGCGATGCTACTTTATCGGGGGGAAAAAAGGATGCAGAAATATAGGGAGGAATGAAAAAACAAATACCTGGGAGGAAAAAGTCTGTGATAATGAATATAAAGCACACTGCAAATATGCATCTAATTCAATGCAGATTTGAGTCAAATAGTTAAAAAAAATAATTTTACACACAAAGGGGGGCTAGAAAGAAAATCACCACACCAGGAGAGGTAAAGGCAATCGGGTCAGCTGGCACGCACATGAGGTGTCCCTTTTTATTTTTTCATGAAGTTGGCTACCCTAGTTTGAGAAAACAGAGGATGTCTCTAAAGTAACGGGTGTGTGAAGGTGAGCCGATTAAGGTATCTGCATGGTGTGATTAAAACTGACCGGAGTCCTTCTGTTTTATCCCTCTTTCTGAAATGGGGCCCAGAAACAGTGCAGCAACCAAACTAATGCTAACCTTTGGTTAGCAACATGGCCTCTTAGCCCCTTTCCTTTATCTTTTTATTTTTTATGAGCTACTAAATATTTTCTATAATGTTTTTCTTTGTTGATTTTTTCTCTTTTTTCTCTTCCTGTCAAACTGTTTCTCTCACCTCTTAATTCTTCTTCTCTTTCCCTTTATCCATCTCCCTTTTTGTCTCAGAGTCTGTTGCATATAAAAGCCCCTTTGCTCGACCAATATTCCCCCTCATTTTGCTTTTTTTGGTGTGCTATGGGTTTAATCTGAGAAATGTAACGCAGAGAAGAAGCCTGGCTCAGCTCTATTACAGAGCTACTTGGGTTTGGCGACACCTGAGCTCTATGTCACCTGACATCGACCTCCTTTTCCTATTGGTGCAGAATCCTTTCATGCCGATGTTTGCATCATAACCAGAAGTACATTTTTATACATTTTAGAACCATCAAACTCAATAAAGTAATTATTTACTGTATGAATTGTATTTCTTTTCGTCAGTAAAATATATACTTTTAATCTGCACCGCTCAAGATGTTCTGTGAATGTATTCTGTATTATGTTAGAAGAATTAGTGATGACAAAAGTTGCAGCTACTGTATGACCTTTATAGGTAGGCAGTGTGTTTTCCAAGCAGCAAAGCTGCATATCTGACATAAGCATAAAGCAGTGTCAGAGTGGCACTAACAGGCAGGCTCTCCAAATGGAAGAGATCTCAAAGACAAGCTAGGATTAGACACAAGGAGGAAAAGATGTGTTGCCCCTGGAAACAGAACAAACATAATGATTTCAAAACGAGGGCCTCGATACAGCCCTCTATTTGGCACCAAGAAAGTCCTTTGCAGACATGGAAGATGGGGGGAGGGGATGCCATCTCCATGGAATAATCCTAGAGGATTTTTTTTCCTGTTCACTCTTCTCTGTAACATAAAACAGTTGAATTTCTTGAATTCATAGCTGGTATTTTTGATCTGAATCTCTCTCCATAGCCATTCCACAACCACATAAACTCTCAGTACCCAATGGGGCTCTACATCTTGTGTAATTTAATTTGGATGCCATTTCTCATGCCTCAGTTATGGATGGGGGGAGGTGTGTGAACTATATACTGGACGAGGCAGAAATTTCTTCACAGCAGGCTATGATGCCTTCACCCAGAGGGAAAATAAAGATTCTATCACACAGATAATCACATCGGCATTCCTACAGCAGAGGAAAAAGCATGGATCCGTGATCAGTCATTGGAAGTATCTCATTTAGGAACCACTTACCAGAAGGGAAGGTTTATGGTGTTTTATGATCCAATAATGCAAAAGATCTCAATCATAAAATTAGCATAGCTTAAAAGGTTTTTAACAGATGCCAGATCAGGTAATTGGAGGGGTTTCAGCTAAAGTATATGGACCATCGCTTAACACAATATTGCCCCTTCCCCACTAGTTGCTCCAATTCTTTTACGCATCTTCAAAAAATGTGGGTGTTTGGAAATATCTCTAGCTGCTACTCAATCATAGGAAAAGGCAAAGATGGATAATATTCAATAAAAAAACAAAACAAAAAAAAGCACCAGAAAATGTCTAATATTAGAGGAATTTATTTTATAGCTTTATCTTAACTCTAAAAATTAACTACAAATAAGTAATTTTTTATATAATCCAAGTGAACTTTATAGTTAAAACCAGAACAGAATTTAAAATCCTCTTTGTCACATATAAAGCCTTCAGTGACCAAGCTCCATCTGATAGCAGAGATCTGATCATTCCTTTTTTAATTTTTTTTAAACCTTAACTAACTAGTTAAAAAATACCATTAAGATTAAAAACCTTTTTTCAAGAAAGTCCTGGCCAAGAGGCATCAAATTTACACATTGGTCATAAAAATATATGTATTACATCAAGCATATCAAGTATGTCATGTTCCTAACAGGGCACCTCACACTTAATCTGCAGGTTTATATTAGTTGTTCCTAGAATTTCTAAAAATAGAATGGGATCAATCAGATCTTTTAGTTATCAGGCTCCTCTCCTGTGGAACCAACTACCAGTTTTAGTCCGTGAGGCAGACACCCTGTCTACTTTTAAGGCTAGGCTTAAAACTTTCCTTTTTGATAAAGCTTATAG